GGGAGGTGGGAGGTGTACGTACCGCTTGGGATATGGATGTTTGAGATGGTAGGTGCGGTAGTGCAGCTTCATGCTGTTGCTCTGAGTGAAGCGCTTCCCGCACTGCTCCTGCGGACACAGGAACGGCTTCTCTCCTGTGTGCGTCTGACACATACACATGACATACAATATTATATAAACATCGATATTAGCAATGATTTTAACCAAATGTAAAAAATACATCAAAATAGAAAAAAAAATAGATAACAAAACAAAAACAATATTAATTTCAAATTATACTAAAGATTTCTTTAAAAGAAATGGCGCATTAATAAGATATTTATTAGCAAATTTGAAAGAGTTTTATAAACATGAAGCGGAGAGAGAGAGAGAGGGAGAGAGAGAGAGAGAGATATTACCAGTTGATGCCTCTTCAAGGCGACCCTGGAGTAGAAGTGCTTGTCGCACTGCTGGCAGACGTGCACGCGCTCCCGGGTGTGCAGGTTCTGGTGTGTGGACACGCTGCCCGGCTGCAACACAACAAGTTAAAGTTAACAAGAAGAGCGCGTGCGAGTCATCTAACCAGATGGGATGTAGAGGAGGTTACCGCGAGCGAGGCGCCGCAGATCTCGCAGATGTGTCGGAGATGCGGCGGGAAGAAGGAGGTGCGCGGATGCTGCGCCTGGTGATGTCGCAGACACGCCGACTGAGACTCGAACTGCAGCCCGCACTGACCACACACAGACACATCAACTACTCTCACTGGAGATTGCCTATCACTATCACTATCACTATCACTGCACTAATAACAACGGTTTTAATCCTGTTTTTTAAAAGGCTAACAATAAGAATGTACCTGATAGCAGGTGGTGGGTTTCCTTCGCTTCCTCTTCAACTTCCTACGTCTCTTGCCCTCCGCAATGATGGCGTACTCTTCGCTTTTTCTATAATTAAGTCATTATAACCTTTGACACATATTTATATACAACAATTTTTTCACATTTTTTTAAACATGACATAATTTAAATTATATTACTTAAACTCACCTGCGTTTAAGTCCTTTACTGATCTGTAAGTAAAATATATAACGCATTAATTATACACATAAGTCCAATATTAAACATGAAAGAAATAAAAAAAAAATGTAGAAAAATATTGAATAGTATATGCGAGTACATATATCACCTTGGCTTGCATTTTCTTTCCCAACACTTTCTTGTGAGCGCTCTCATGACTCTCATTCTCATCTCTGAAACAAATTTTAATTCAAATTCATTTAATCGATTTAATTACGTTTAATTAATATAATTTAATCAATATTATTTAAATTAATTAATGTAATTAAATTTAATCAATATAATTAAATTTAACCAATCAATTGAAATGTAATTTCTCCAAATTACAAATTTATCACGTAAAATGACGTTGAATTATTCTCAGGTTGTTTTAAAATAAGAAATCTCACTCAATATCATTGGCATGCATAGCGGAGTGGAACAGATGTCCCTCGTAGGCCTTGCGCGTCTCAAAGCGCATGTCGCAGCGCTCACAGTATGTGTTCACCTCCTCCTCATCATCATCATCCGGACTTTCCTAAGGGCAGACATTATAAAATACAGTCAAAATAATTCAAAATCAGTTAACATACAGCGGAAAGAAAAACTGAAAGCTTTAAGTAGGTGACGCTGGCATCAAGAGTGGACTGTCATCTATCTAACTTTTGATAAGTCTTCCTAGCGAAAAATAATAACATAAAAATGAATTTCTATTTTCTTTTTAGCATTTTAGTTAAAAAATAATTTACAAACTATCTAACTGACTAAGATAACTTTGCATTATGTATGACGGCGACATGTTTAGTAAGCAGAAGGCATAGAGTGAGGTGGTCACGTGGACACGTGACATACTTGCGCGGTGTGCTTGAGTCGCTGGTGCTGGCGGAGTCCGGCCTGGCTGACGAAGGAGGCGCCGCACACCGCGCACACGAACTCGCTGCGGTGCGTGCGCAGGTGCGTGTAGTACGTAGACGCGTGTCTACACAACACAACACAACACAACACACTTTTCAAACCCAACTAATTATTTCAAGTCATAAATAGACCCGCTTGACTGGTGCAAAACCACAAATATACAGAAAAAACGCCTCAAGTGCGAACTAATTCCGCGTTATGTCTGATGAGTGTTGTCCCGGAGGATTAATTTAAGTCTTTTTTCCCTTCCCATCCTTTCCTTTCTTTAAGGGAGGAGGGGACGCTTAGGCTGAATATACATTCTGTGTCCCCTCTTCAGTCAATTAAAGTCAACGCAGCAAATGCAGATTTCTATGGGGCGGTGGCTTCACCAAATTCAAGTGGCCACTTGCGTTTTTCCACCTTTTTACTCTCAAGAAAAAACGATTGTTTGTAGATTGCGTCACACTTTGCAGTGTAATGAAATTTGCAACATTAATAACATACAAATATTAATAATATACCTAAACTGTTGTCCGCAGTGTACACACTCTTTTTTGATCCCGCTGTGATATTCCTCATGGAGTATTGCAGTACTTCTGTAAATACAAACTTATTTTTTAAACTAAAGATACCTTGCATGTCTACGTTTAATTATACACTGATTCGGCTATATTCATTTGTTCACATAACTCCGGATATTCTGAAAGAATCTGGATGTGATGTAGAGACAGTTTACCAACTGGAATTACACACAGGCTACAACTAGTTGTATAATTGTATACTCACTCTAACGGACAGACAAGATGACACCTGAGACATTCATATTTGGTGTAGTGCTGACGGATGTGCCTGCGACGATGGCACTCCCATTTGAAACGCATCCGGCAGAACTTGCACTCAAATATACCCAATTCCTGGCACAAAATAATTACCTTTTAAGATCTTAACAATAAAAAGTATACTCCTACACCTTATTAGTATAGTTGAACCTGAATAAACAAGAAACCTTTATAAACAAGAGCCATTGGTCGTCCCAACAGACAACTTCCAAATGCGAGACATGGCTAAGAGAGCTCTTTGAGCGAGAAATATTATGGTCTCTCACTTATCCAGGTTCAACAGTATTATGAAAAGAAATTATTTCATATATAATATAGGACTTAAAATTGACAAAAAAGAAAATATTCACAGTTTAACTCTGAATGCAGTTAATCCAAAATAACTGAATTGTATTCAACTAGTATTTCATTTAGTTAAATTGTAAAATTAATTAAAATGGTATTTACTTCACTATGTCTTAATTGTTTGTGACGTTTCAACATGTCTTCTTTGGAGAAACCTTTAAAGCAATCCTGGCATTTAAAAGCTGCTGCTAAATATTTTGAATCTTCAGCTCTTAATCTAAATTCCCTTACAGCTTCTTCCTCTGACAGAATATTAACTTTCCAACTTTCCGGATCCAATCTTCTGTTTGGTTTTTCACTTATACTTTTACTTCTTTCTTTGATAAATTCATTCTTAAAATTAATGCATTCCTTCTTAACATCTATGAATACTGTTGCCGGTCTGTTTGTTTCATTTGAATCTGTCTCTATGAACACATCATAATCCATACTATCCTGTTTCTCATCATATACTGTTTCATCATCAATTGAATTATCTATAGTGTAAGTCTTAACTCTATCAGTCGTATGTATTACAGCTAAACTAGATTCAAGATTTGTTTTATCTATTTTATATACCGATTCATATGTAATCTGGAAATATAAATAAGTTTGCTTTGAAGTTTTTGTTCATGTATAAAAGCACTTTCCCAAATTTATAATGATAAGAATTAAAAAAAAAAAGAAAAAATAAGTTTTTGTCTATGATATGTACAAAAATTACAATTAAATTACAAAATTATTTTAAAGGTTAAATATATTTGTTATAAAAAAAAGTAAGAGGATGGAAATTAAAAATTAAACTTAGTAATAAAAACATTTGTAAACAATAATTTTACTCACAGGACCCTTCCAAAGTAAGTCCTTAAGTGTTTTCTGTCCTCTGTAGCATTTCTCCTTGAACTTGTGAAATTTGTGCAGAATCGTGGAGCATTCGTAGCAAAAGTAACGAGGCAGACAATCATCTTCATACACCTTATATTAAATAAAAATAACAGGAATAGAGTCTTCATTAGCTCATACACAACACAACCACACCAAAAGGCTGAACAGCCTACTACTAGAATTGTCAACGCTAATTAAGAATTTAACACCAATCTGTAACAGCTATCATGTGTAATATTTAATGTTTATGCAAATAAATTACCTTTAATGCCAAAACTTCTTCGTAATAAGATTTAAGTTGATATTGATCATATTTGTAAACTTTAGCTCCCGTTCGCAAACAAATTCGACATATTTTTAAATCAGACATGATTAAATCTAGTGGAATAAAATAATATTATTTATAAAAACTGCAAAAATGGCATTTTTCACCTATTTACAATTGTTTACAATATATAATCATGATTGGTAAAGCACGGAAACGTCAAAAAGTCAAAAACCTTAATAATAGTGTTGTACTACCAGCTACCAGTATACCAGTACCCAACCAGTACCAGTGATGTACCTCCTAGAAATGTTGTGTTTGCATATGGTAACATTGAAACACAGTCGAGTAAAAAAGGCAGATTGTTCCCGCTTTATAAGATTTTTCGCTACTTTTCCAGTCCCCACACATTAAGAATATAAAAAAAAATACCAGATTATCGGCTTTTAAAGGTCAATAGTCAGAAAACACTGTAATTTACAGTTGCGGTCCATCTGGTAAGGTCGGTCTAATTAGCTACAACCTTTTGATTTGAAGCTTTGAGCCGCTTATAATTTATAAAGCAAAGTTTTTCTCTTACGTTTATTTCTTTATATCTATATTTATTATTGATTAAAAAGTTTTCTAATTTACTGAAGATTTAACTTACCGTTAACTTATAATATTGTTAAACAATATTAAAATAGTTACATTTTTGGAGCTTTTACAGTACTTTATGTGTTTGTGTCGCCTACATGGTACATGATGGTGGGTTCGTATAATATTAGTTAACGTAAATAAGATTTATCAAGTCAAAGTGGCTTGATCAAACATTTAATGAAGCACGTGTTCGTCGAACCCTAAATAAGTTATTCCCTTTGAGAGTGTGGTCAACACTCGTTATACGGTTAAAAGATTATCCGTTTAATTAATTGTATTATCTGTATATTTAAATAAGAGGTTATTTATGGATAATTCTTCCATTTTAAGTTATTTCTTCATAACTAAATTCAATAAAATTAAGTTAACACGACAAATCGTATAGGATTTTCTATAAAATAATTGAAACTAGAAATGATTTTCCAATTACTTTAATTGTAAATTAAAATCCATTGTTACAATTCGAAAATGAGAAGAATGGATATATTATTAATGTTTAGCTAACTAAACTTAACCTACAGATGGAGTGTACCAATGGTATCTACAATTTTGGCGGAAAGTCGAGAGATAATCTACGAAATGTCATTAGTGTGTGTGCGTAATTGAAAATTTTGCCAATTTCGGGAAATTCAGTGTAAAAACATTAAAAGTTAACATTTTAATTATTCATATTTATTATTAAATTAAAACCCAAAATAGTTTTTACAATAGACAATATTATTTTTTTGTTATAAAGTTATTATAAAAGTATTTCGTTGACTAACTGTAATTGTTAGTTAATTCAATTACTTTGAAAGAGCCTTTAAATTCGACTATTGTAATACAATAAGCTAAAAATCTAATAAAAATCATATAACATTATTATTTCAAATATTACATTGAAAATGAAATAAAGATTCCAGCGAGCATATTCATTGAACCGCACGAAATAATAAGCTTGTATCAAACATCAATGACATTTCATACGTTTCCTCTTTAAAAAATATTCATCGAAAATAAATATTTTATTGATATCTGTTATATTTGAAACAGATTGAATAAAACGGGACGATGGCTTCTTAAAAGGTTTCGTTAAGGCGAGACATTTGTCGTTCCAATTCTTTTCAAAGAATTAAATTAATAATATATTATAAAAAATCATAAAACATGATTATTTACATAACAACTGAATACAAAAATAGATCTTAAGTTAATTATTTATTTTAGCGTTATTTATTAAAAATACCTAGGTCGTAATATTAAGAGGGATGGTATGTTATTTTGCATATATCTGAGCAGTGAAAACCTAGATATAGTGTCATCACCACGACCATCAACTTAATATGGATAGATAAAGAGAACAATAGTTATGTTACTCTTTCAAGTGTCATAGATGCCATCAAAGATCAATTGTGCAATACAGCACAGGATTGAATTATAAGACATTATAAAATTACGGTTTTATGAAATAGCGCCTAAGCGTTATAAAGAAAGTACTACGCTCACTTGCCCTATGTAAAAATGATTTCAAGTTGGAAACTTATGAGCAATAAGTATTAAGTTAATTGAACTTAATCTAATCTATTTGCGATTAATCAAACTCAGCGTTGTATCAATTTGCAGAACGATGTAAATTATACTAATTTAGCTGACGACTGTATAATTAGATCTTTGTTAACTTTACTTAACAAGATGATGACTTGGATTCACTTAATTTATAAGACATATTAACTGCTGTATCTTATCTTGAAAACAAACGAAACGTGTACTGAGTAAAGAGCTTACGAATAATTTATATACTGTAAGTACTATATGTGCGTCAGTGGCGCATTTGTAAAGCGCTGGACCGGTCCGAACTGAAATCTGTACATTATTGTAAATAATCTATATAGTATATAAAAGAAAGTGGTGTTAGTTACACTATTTATAACTCAAGAACGGCTTTACCGATATGCCTGAAAATTGGTGAGAAGGTAGCTTAGAGCCAGGAGACGGACATAGGATACTATTTATTTATTTTTTCCGAATTTATGCCTTAAAGGGCTGCTTTTTGTTTAAGTAATTATATATTAAGTTTTTTTATATATCCACGCGGACGGAGTCGCGGGCGACAGCTAGTATGTACTAAATTACTGGCTGTTGTCCGCGACTCTATTTGCTCGGCATTAGAAAAAAATTAATAAGTAGTCTATGTTTCCTTCAAGACTATATTCTACATCTGTACCAAATTTCAGCGAGATCCGTTGAGCCGTTCCGGAGATACATACGTTCTAACAAACATATATCCATTCATCGAAACATCGCATTTATAATATTAATAAGATAAGAGTTTAAATAACATAAGAAATCGCAATCATTGTTATAAACGTACAAAACAAAATTAAACACAGTTATTTTTCCGGAATACAAAGGAATACTTAAAATTCAGGAGACGTTGCCGCTGCCGGTGAACGTGATCCTGTCTTACCTAAATTAATTGTAAGAAAATAATATCTTATATTTTTGTCTATTGTTTTGTTTTTAAGAAAAAACAAACAGCAACTACAGTTGGCAATATTGAATTATTACCTACTTTATTGCACAATTTATCTATATTAATAACATAAATAGGAATGATTTTATCTGTTTGTTTGCATTGAATTGCCTTCGAAACTACGGAACCGGTTAGATAAATTATTTCACTGTTAGGAAGCTACACTATCTCCAGGTGATATAGGATATATTTATTACTTGATTTTTCTTTAATTATGCGCGGACGAAATGGCTAGCAACTGCTAGTCTTACGATGTTTGTTAGAATGTATCTCCAGAATGACTATATGGATCTCGCTGAAATTTGACATAGATGTAAAACATAGCCAGGAAGAACACAATATAGGCTTATGAATTTATCTTATTTTCTTTTAATTTCGAGAATTAATTTAGAGAGATTTCAAGAGTCGCGGTCAGCTGCTAGTAACTAATATTTTTAGGTATTGTAAATGACAATCTATGTTTGTATTGGAAACGCACTTTAAGAGCGTGTTCTATTTTCACGTTATTGGAACATCTTGAAACATATGTAAAATTCTTTCTTGTATTCTTCAAACCAAAAGACGACAAAGACATGACAAAGCCACGTGTCGTTATTGTTTAGAAGCGAGTGATTGCAGCACTGATGAACATCAACAAATATTTTCTTTTATGTTTCATTTTCACATTTTTCATATTTGTGGTATACAAAAAAGAGTAGCTTTAACTTATAATACAAAAAAAAAACGAGAGAGTAGAACCTCATGTCTGTGCATTATAGTAGGCAAACATCTACAACTTTTTAATTTATTGCAAACTGACGGTCCCCCGAGACCATTCGCGCAGAATTTAAAAAAAAAAACAAAATTAGTAGCCTACGTGTTCTTCCAGACTATATCCTACATGTATGCTGAGATACGTTCAGCCGTTCTGGAGATACTTTCAAAAATCCAACCATCCACCCAAACATTCGCATTTATAATAATAGTATGATGTCTATAGACAGCGGTCACTTCGCTATTTTAGCGACATCAAATGTTCGTTATATCAAGAACAAAATTCAGTAGTACAAATTAAATATTCTACTTCACGAATATTTCATTATTAATTCTTTAAAAAAACTACAATAATTTACTGCTTTTAAAAACGTCATGAATTATTTCCATAATAATGAGATGCGTGAAATAAATTGAAAGCAATAAATAACGCATTGAGTAATGAAAATGCCGGCATTGTGCAGATGTTGTGCTGATGTTGTACTGCACGCCTCACACGCAAACTAATAACTGATATAAAAGCTCTCGGAACTTTTTCAATTTGCTAATTTATGAGCTGTGCTATATATATGTTAATTGTTACGTTCCATTGTTTCGTAAAATGTACCCGTTTCAATAGGGTTATCCTCTCATTTGTGAGATTCAAACATTACTGTAATGGCTTGCTTACTGTGAAATTAAATCACATTTAAATATAAATAAATACATATTCCACCGAATCTTACTAATATTATAAATGCGAAAGTTTAGATGGATGAATGTTTGTTAGAATGTATCTCCGGAACATCTCAACGGATCTTGATGGAACTTGGCACAGATGTAGATTATAGGATAATTTGGCTACTCATTAAGTTTCTTTAATTCTGCGCCGACAGAGTCGCGGGTGACAACTAGTGATTGTAATAAAACTTTCCTAGCGTTTGAAAAGCTTTCTGTGGAAAGCGCAATATCTAAAATATTAACATAAGTATTTTAAGCAGTAAAAGAATATTAACTATGTTTTATCAATAAAATAAATAAAGAATAAAATTGAATAAGAAATTAAAGTTGTAGATATACCAGAGGTTGTTGAACAATGTAAGCTCTTCAGAGATTTGCAGCGCGCTAACTAATCCCAGATTATTTTCATGAATAACATTAAGCGTTTTAGACAAAGAAGCGAACATTAATTACAAAGAAAATGTTCTAATTATATAATTTTCGACAAAAATTCATAAATTTTCTTATCTCGATTGTCAATGTGAAAAAATTACTTTT